CTATTCAATTGAAAGCAAAACTTCTCCTAGGATAAACAGTTAGAAAGTAGCCATGGAACACTGTTTTTATATATGATAACTGCAATGAGATTATTGTATGCTGACAATGGAAAGATTTGGCAATAAAGGAATGATTGGCGAAGATGACAAAACTTGCTGAAATGGCTAAACTGTCTTGTTTGATTACAGAAAAGACATTGATGCCTGGAAACTCCTTATGGGCTTTTTGTGTAAAAAAAGAAGAAAATGAATTTGTGATTTATGCTCCTGATGATTAAATAGAATAGACTATAGAGAGTCATGATGTAATCCTACAGACAGAGATTAAAAAATAATATTGGACTTAAATCGGCCATAAAGAAGATGGGAAACCACTTCTTTATATATTCCTTTTTATATGTTTCTTCTTTCTTTACCTACCTCTTAGTTTTCTTTTGCAGTTTTAGCTTTCTTTTATCTCTCCTTTTTTCCTTCTCCCTTCTTGCTCTATTTAGGTTGTATTAGTTCTTCTTGTTGTTACAACTTCATTTTTTTTAAAAAAAAAAAATCTCAAATAGAAAATACTACATCAACATTCCAAACACAATTGGGGGAGATTAGGTTGCAGAAGACCTGTAATCAACCTCAGTGGGTTTGTATGCACCCAAATTATTTATGTTAAGAAAACCCAATATGGATGCCTTGCTGGAGAACCTTTGTCATAGCTAGATTATCACAAAGTGAAACCCTTCATATCAATATTCTGATCACAAACAAGAATACTTTTTGCCAAAATTCCACTGCATGTAGAGGCAATAAGCCTGATGGAGAGCTTCATGCTAAGCACTGAAATTTTATGAGGCTAGAACTTGATATCAAAGAATTAGAGATTGCAGCATATTAATAGTAATAAAATACGGGAAGTATTAGACAGAACTAAAGGCTCAGAAGAGACTAGCCCCGTGATGGTGAACCTATGGCACGTGTGCCACAGTTGACATGCATGTCACCCCAGCTCAGTTCCATCCCTCATGCATGCGTGCCTCCTGCTGGCCAGCTGGTTGTTAGGTCTCTGCCACACATATGCGGGGGGTGGAGGGCATGCAGGAGATGTGCACAGATTCACAGGGATGGGGCACACGAGGGAGTAAAATGTGCATGCCCTGTGAGGGGTCATGCACACATGCGCAGGGGCAGGTCATGCTTGCATGCACAGGATGTGGGGTGTGCAGGTGTGTGCATGTGTATTGTATTATGGGTGCATGCTTGAGCACGCACTTTCACGCACGCACATGCATACTTTTGGTACTCGGCAACGAAAATGTTAGCCATCACTGGAGTAGCCACTAACTAGACTACTCCCCAACATTTTTCTCCTCCTCTTTGCCAACCATGTTTCTTTCCCTTAACCTACATTGTTGATTTTAACACTCTAGATTTTTATCTCTGCAGTGGAGAATATAGAAAGGGAAGGATATAAACAATGCTTTTTAATTAGCTAGATGTGTTCATCTTCACCTCTAAAGAGATTCTTATTTGCCACCAAAACACATCTGGTTCATTAACTAGGTCCCCCAAGGAAAGATGTAGAGAAGTCAGTAATAGATTCGGTTATTAAATACCATATGACAATATAAATCTTTATAGATTAATGTATCAAATAAAAGGTGTTGATAACTGCAGGCAGAGACACAAAATATAAGTGGTTCAAAGTTGTTTGGATCCTTTTATTTCTAGACAAAAGCTGCTAAGGGTAACTGAGCATGACAATATTATGAAAACAAGACACCCTCCCCCCAATTTAAAACTGTTCTACAAGACTGACAGCATGAAAATTTTCCTAAAACTGTCAGATTATCCTGAAATATTATTGCAATCCAATGATAAATGAAGAGAACTTTGTTTTAAATACAAACAGCTGATATAAAATTTAAAGACATTAATTCATTTGATGGGGAGGTAGACAGTATAAAATTGTGCTTTAGTCTCAAATTTTTAACTAGTGAAACTAGCAAATTTTCATCTAGAAACAATTTAGTTATATATTCCAAAGATATCATCACATTTCGACATTTTCTACTGCAGAAAGGGATTTTCTTTATTTTAGGATTTCCTAATGCAAACATTTCTTAAATTCTTACAGATGGGGGGAAAATGGTAAAATTTAGTCAATCTAAGTAGCAAGCCCTTTTTTAAAGCTTCAATAAAAACAGTTCTTGCCTAAAATCCCAGGGCTGATGTAGTACTTCTCTGATCATCCAATGATTTGTATCTACAGCCTGCCTTCAGTCTTCATTTAGATATAAATTTAACCAATTCAGGAAATTACATATATAAACATAGACTATGTGGAAAGGTGCTATGAGAAATAATAATATCAACTTAAAGACAAAAGCTTTTTTAAATAGCATAAAAGCAGTAGCTAATGGATTGTCTTTCCAGCCTCTTTTAGTTAGAGCAGCACTTTCTCTAAAGGCCAGATTTTTCCATGCCCTAATTATTTCTCAGAGTACTACAACATAATCCATGTGTTATTAGCCTTGAAAGACGTTACACCCTGAAGCAAAATATAGCACTCAAAATGGTTTTTCTGATGTAAAACAATAAATAACCTCTTTGTGCACCACCAACAAGTCTTTGGTGATTTACAATAGAAAGAGAGCCTTAAAATTATAAATTCAAGTTAAAAGCGAGAATATTAACAATGAATTAAAGGAATTAACTATAAGAGAGTGTCTAAAAAGATGCATTTTCAAGACTTTTTTTTAAAGCAAAGAGAACAATTATGCCTCTCAATTCAGCAAGGGATGCACTCAAAAATGTTGGACCAGCTAATGTAAAAACTGTTCTAAGTTGTTATGAGTCATATCTGTGGCAATAACAGGTGAACTTCCTTACCAGTGAAGGATAGAAGGAATTAGAGACCATTTTCAAAATCCAAGGCATCTACACCTTTACAGGCAATTAACAATATTCTGTATCTGAGATGAAAGAAACTGGCACCAGGGTAAAAGCCTTTTTTTTTCTTGATTTCTCCCCCCATCGCCCCCCTTTAGAAAGTGGCCTGCCTGCCAAGTTCTGTATAATTGACATTTCTGGACTAGATACAAAAACAGCCCTCCGAAACACATTTCAGTCATTAACTCGGAGATTATCCATGTAGGTGATGCAGTTTTAAAATAATTTTCTTTCAAGAATTGTTGGTTTCTCTAGTGAACCTGATTAAAAAGAATGCTCTGTCTGTTTCCTTACTTTAGGAAACAAAAGAGAGGTCTGCATTTCATATTCTACACCCCTTCAGAAGGACTATGATCTCATCTCAAATAGGTAAATCTGTTACTTCTCTGAATGATTACCTTCAAATTAATTTATTTATTAAATTTATAAGGAATAGGAAAGGCAGAAGAAGGGGGGAAGGAAGAGGAGGAAGAGAAAGAAGAGAAGGGAAAGAAGGTGGGAAGAAAGAAGGAGAGAAGAAAGAGAAGAAACTGGGGGAGGAAGGAGGGAGGGAAGAAGAGAGGGTAGTAAAGAGGGAAAGAGGGAGGGAAAGAAAGAGAGAAGGAGAGTTGAAAGGAAGGAGGGAAGGAGGGAGGAAAGGAGGGAGATTAAGAGGAAAGGAAGGAGGAGGGAAAGAGGCAGGGAAGGAGGGAAGGTATGTGTGAAGGAGGGGGGGATCGAGGGAGGGAAAGGAGGGGGAAGGAAAGGAGAAAAGGAGAAAAGAAAGGAGGGAAGGCAGGGGAGAAGGAAGTAAGGGGGGAGGGAAGAAAAGAGGGAGGGAAAGATACCTAACCTTTGATGTTTATAATGATTTGATAGTATGGGAATATCTCGAAATGTAGTTGTATTGTTTGTTACAAGTTATGGATGTTGTATTTTCTTTTTACCAATAAAATCTTTAAGTATAAAAAAAAAAAATTATAAGCTGCCCATCCCACTGTCTGAGGTGATTCTGGTTGGCTTACAATACCGGAAAAAATAAACATATTAAAACTATAAATATAAAAATGGATTGAAATCGTAAAAGAGTAAATACATATACTACAGAATACAGAAATGAATATTTTTGCCTTGTGTATGTTCAGCTTTTATTTATAATTCCTTCCATACCTTACAGAACATGAAATCAGTCTTAGACCAACTACTCTGGCTTTAATTGTTTCCTGGGCACAATTTAAAGTGCTACATATTTTAAGCATGGCCTTCCCCAATAAAAATTTATCTAAAACGTTTTATCTTCCTCAAAAGTTTTATTTTATTTAGAATGTTTGGAGTACAAGACAATTATGAAACTCCATTAAAGTAAAAGTAAAGGTTCCCCTCGCACATACATGCTAGTCGTTCCCAACTCTAGGGGGCGGTGGTTATCTCCATTTCAAAGCCAAAGAGCCAGCGCTGTCTGAAGAAGTCTCCGTGGTCATGTGGCCAGCATGGCTAAATGCCGAAGGTACACGGAACACTGTTACCTTCCCACCAAAGTGGTCTCTATTTTTCTACTTGCATTTTTACATGCTTTCAAACTGCTAGGTTGGCAGAAGCTGGGTCAAGTAATGGGAACTCATTCTGTTATGCGGCACTGGGGATTCAAACTGCTGAGCTGCCGACCTTTCTGATCAACAAGCTCAGCGTCTTAGCCACTGAGCCACTGCGCCCCATTAACTAATCGGCAACTCCATTACAGATTAGTTAAAGAAAGAAAACAGTATCTGAAACTTCATGGTTTATATGCTTTTGTCTGAGAGAATAAACAGGATATAAAAATGATTGAAATAAACTACAACTCTTAGAGGCAATAAAACGTCTTGCTAAGGGTATTGAAATGTGAAGAGATGACTATTGTATAAGTTGGATCTACTAACTTTCGTTCAACTCTTTTCTCCAAAATAAGTACTTTGGTAATATTAGCTGTTGGCAAAGATCTAAGGTCTTAAAATCATTATCTGAACTGATATTAGAAACTAGCTCCTTAATTTGCTTATGCATAACTGTGTGTTCTTTCTAAAGATATGCAATTCCTGGCTTACCTGGAAAAAGAAAAATGCTTGTCCAAACCAATAATGCATGATAGTAACTTGAGCTGCATCAAACTCCAGTGGCTTCCAGATGTAGTTTCTCATCATGGTTTGAATGAATAAGCACAAGACCAAAACTGGTAAGTTATGAGGTCTGAGCAAGAGAGCTGATAGCAAAACCAGCCCACCGTAGATTTCCCATAAACCTTTAAACTTGATCTTAGTATCCATTGAAAAAAATAGAGATTTGAATAAATCTTTTGTGCCTGTGAAGATGATGCCAAGAACAAAGATGTAAACAAAACGTGCTTCGATTGTGCCCCTAAAAAGAGACAATAAAAAGACATAGTTAGATCAACTTCTGATGAGTTCAAACATTTGTTTCTGGACATGATTTGCTAAAAATGCAGAGAGGTTAGCTCAAAACAAGTAGTGGCGCTTGTGCCATTAGTGATAGTAAAACTGATCATGATTGCATTATGCATCCCAACAAATAGAATTATACAATTATTCAAATGAAACAGAGTGATCCAAGTAGGAAAGTATCTTAAACCAGCGCTCTGAAAAGAATGAGATTAACTCCACGCATATTTATCTGAAATGAATGCAGTTAAAACTTATTGTGCTATACTGTAAACTTGGCCAAATACACAGCACTGTCAAATAAATATGTATGAAATTAGTTTCATAAAGCTGATCGATATTTGAAAGCTCTGCTAAATTTCTCTCAGGAAGATTAGGGAGGGAAAAAGAAATTTGTTAATTAAAAAGGTTTACAAAGTAAACTATGAATCATTCTTAAGCATGCCACAGCAACATCTGCCTTTGCAACATTAATGTTCTATCACATACATATATTAAAGTAATATACAGTATGTATATTCAAAATCCCAATCCAGAAAATAAAACATTATCTATATAGTTTAGCATGTGAATGTGCTTAGGTGGGGAACAGGTGAGGATTTGAACTGGGGATTTTCTGTCCCAAGCTCAAATTCAGACTCTTAGGTACTTTAATATTCCCTGAAACAAAGTTTTCTCCCACAGCAAAGCAATGAATAGACATGAAACTGTTGCCATCATAGCTACAGAGTTGTTGTTCCCACTGCAACACAATTTAACATAATTTAATGGTCCACTTGAATGCACATTTACTGGAGAACAATTTCTACTGAACTCCACAGAACATATTTCCAAAAAATACTTCAGTCAGCTGCAAGGCATCAAGAGCATGAATGCTTATAATCAGAAGTCTGAACTAATCCTCTCTGTTACACACAATTTGGGGTTCTTAGAATCCATAAAAATCCCATAATCCATAACAATCATACAGTTTTAATAATAATTAATCCTACCACTTTCAAGATTTAAATAAATATTCTTAACAACTGTATTTTGCAGTCCAAGAGTTTCTATCATTCTTCAGAGGGGCTAGACTAAATGATACAATGAAGATCATAAGTGGTTGCATAAAATCTACTACTACTTGCTGGCTCCCCGTCTTGAGCCACATTGCACCATCAGCTTTACAACAACATTATGAGAAACCCACATCTTCCTCTCCACATTTATCTTCCTCATCTATCAATTGGCAGGCTTAAATCCAGGAAGCCCTCTCTGGCACTCGCTCAACAGCTGTCTAACAACGTTGACATCAGCATACAGTGGAAAGCCAAATGGGCTGATGAACGCCCAAGTACAGGCAGTTACATAGATGACCCTACACAAGAGGTGCCAGGTTTTGATCTTACTTGCCAGCATTGGTCAACTCTGAAGAGATCCATACCTAACATGGTGTCTGCCAGGACTCATTGTTTAAGTGGGGTCTTGTCTCTACCCATCAGGGTGACTGTGGTGCTCCTTGAAAAAAATATCCATCACATTGTGTCCGAATGTCCATCAAGAGCTTACACTGTCTGATTTTTTTCAACATAAACCACCTTCTCCTTGAATGGCTGGGTGGACTGGACATTAACATTTGAACCACTGTAAGTCCATGTATTTGCATATGCTAAATAAATAAATAAATAAATAAATAAATAAATAAATAAATA